AATGATTAGTTGTCTCCATTCTCCTTTTCAACTGTTATTGAAGCTGTAGTGCAGCATGATTAAGCTCCCGATAACAAGTAAAACTGTACTTAATGGTCAAGTCACTACTATGGACCCATTCTCTAAGAAATATATCATTTGTGGCCACACAATAGCTCGACATTATTAATTTTATTCACAACCTAAGGTACCTTAACTAAGCTGTTTGAGTGAGACCAGTGCACTAAAACAAGTGAGACTCAGTTTCCAGAGCTTGATTCACCACTGGACTGAAGTTTAACATGCAAATGACCAGCTCATATTAAGCCCCTTTGCACCTTTCAGGTCCAAAAGTTTTTCTGCAAACCGGTTTTCCCTCATTTCTTGTGTTCAGAGACGAAATTATTGAAGCCACATGTCTACATCAACAAGCTTCTTAGAGGGGAGGATGTTTAACTAGGTACCCTCAGCAGAGGGTAGGTTCAGGCTGTGTGCATGTTTCTGGCAAAACAGTGCTGGGAATCCCCCGGCAGAATCTGAACGTTCCAGGGGCAAATACACTTCAAAAGAACCTGAGAGAACCTCAAGCTTTTGAATTACATACAAGGTGAATTCTGCACCATTCTTAGTCTGGGGAAGCATTTTGAAAAGGCGGAGGGAAAGAACTGATGGATGGACTTCAGAGAAAGTGGAGTAAAGACTCCTGGGTTTTCTTTGCTGTATGATTCCTGCGGTGTTCTCCAGCATTAGAGTTGCTGCTACTTTGCCATTAGTTACAACAACTGATCACAGGTTTTAAAACTGTTACCGTGGAGTAGAGCAGCAGCCACTGGATGCCTTTCCTTGCTTCAGTAACCAACAGGGAATACAGAGTTTAGGTACAGTTAGGTACACTTTTGACTTCTTTCACCTTTAACCTGGTGGAGCTCAGTGTGCATGACCAGGAGTTGACAAGGAAGGAAGCAAGAAAGAATATAATGTACTTGAGCACATTCAGCTGATCAACCCATGGAGGACCCAGCCTCGCTCTCCGCATTCCCAGGAGAAGAAACACCACATTTCCCTCTACAGAAATAAAAATAAGGAGGAGAGGCACTAGTGATGCTCAGGACTGTCCTCCCTAGCTTAACTTCTGTTTGGAATTAAAGCTCCTTGCTGTCCCTGAATGCATGACACTTTCTTTTCATTCTACAGTTCTGAACATTTTGAGCTATCGATACGTTTGGTTCCTTTGTCAGCTTCATGCTGGAAGAAACACGCCATTTCTTTACAATGAATACACAAAACTTCAGACTAAAGAAACGCTTTGATCCCACACCAGCAGGCAAGAGCTGTATTTCACTCAACTGACACAGTAACAATGCACTGGCATTTTTGCTTTATGGCAAAACAGGCAGCAATGAAAACCCAACGGTACCAGGAGGCACAAAGGAGCAGCACGTACCCACAGACGTGGCCTTCGACACTGAATTCCGAGGCAGGGGCCACAGCTGGGTGACACGAGAGCATCCCTGCGACACACAACTGCCCCTCAGTGGAATGCCAGGCGCGAGATGCGACCACAGCAGATGCTTTGCTGCCACATCCCTCTCATCACCAGCGACCCTGAAGCGGGGATTGGATTTGCATTCCATTTTCTTCCCTTTGGGCTCCCAACACACAACATCCACGAGCCCCTTCCACCATGGCTAGCAGGCTGCATTAAAAAGGCCTGAGACTGAGCAGTATGCTTATGGTATTTTCGCAAAAAGCTGTTGAACACTTTTCAAAGACCCTCACATAAAGATCAACCCATTCTCAGAAGGCAGCTTAATTCTTCCACCCTTTCGATGCTTGAGTTTTGCTGCATGAATAAAGCTTGTGCAATGGGTGCTGAGCAGCTGCAAAAAGGGTTGCAAGTACCCACTGAAATCACTGCTAACGACACAGTTCACACTTCTTTAAAATTATCTATAAGCTGGTTTAATTAAATATGGAACAACTGCAGGAAACTGCTTATGACTAATGAAAGCTCCAGATGTAGCTGGCCAGGGGATCTAGCACAGTAAGTGTTTTCAGTTGCAAAATAGCTCCATTCAAAATTGCTTCTTCCTGCCAAGTTGGCAATTCCCATTCAATTACACACAGGTACGGAGGGGCAGCCCTTTTACTATTGGTACAATGTTATTTCATTTACCAAATTATATTGCTTATTACACGTATCTGACAACATTTAATAAAAAGCTAAATACCCTTTAAGCACCTGGTTCAAAGGACTATGTTTCTTTTCCCATAGACACAAATTACCAAATCCTCACACTACTTATGTCCAACTCAGGAAAGTAAAATAGGCATCCCCATTTCAGTCTTGCACGTAAAGCAGAAACAAATTAAAACTAAAGTAAATAAAAATGCTGTAACTTTCAGACACAGGTTTGAGAAGCACTACCTTCAGCAAAGTGTCCAAAATCTGGCTTGCATAATTATTTAGTATAAACACTCTTATAAAGGTAGTTAGCGGGGCAAGTGAAAAAACATGATCAAGTACTACATCACAGACAAACATTTAGCAGCCTTTCAAAAATATACTCCTCTAAATACATTAAAACACACCACTCCCTTCACAGACCAAAGACACATTAAAATTAATACTTTTTTTTTGGTGAAGGGCCCCTAAGATGCACTTAACCCAAAGATATTTGGATATAATGGAACTACAGTATTCACACCAGCCAGCTTATCCAACTGTTGCAAAGCAATTTGACATACACAAACTTTGGGGAACTTGGATTGAGAAGGATAATAAATTTGCTTGGGTATTTCATAAATTGCATTGTAATGTGGAAATAAAGCAAGAGGAAAAAAAGAAAATTTTCTTTCACATCAATTATGTATTGTGCAATTGCATTGATCACAGATTTTCCTCATGAACTGAGTCTGAAATCAAGACTGGGCCTGCCTCAGAGACAGGCAACATAGTCTGGGTCAGATAAATCAGCATCTGCATGTCAGGAGTGCCTGGGAACTTCACCTACCAATGTAAGCCAGCTGCCAGGTTTTTAAGGCAGAAATCTGCACAAACCCAATTTCCCTTATCGCTTTTCCACCAAGTACACATTTTAATCAATAAATGGATACTTAAGTGTGAGGTTTTGTATTCTGACAAAGTAATTTTAAGGATGGCGGCCACTTCCCAGGGTGCAGGTTAAGCAAAGCCACAAGTACCATAAAGTAATCTTGAAGAAGCATTGCCAAATCACCTCTTGACAAAACACTTTGCCAGTTATGCTGCCACTTGTCTTGAGCGTTGCTGCTTCCCAAAGTCAGACATTGTGGCACAGCCCAGTGAGATCCATACCAGTCGTTTAGATAACAAGGGGAAAATAGGCGCACTCAGCATGTGTTTTAAAACATGTTTTCTATTCAGAACCCCAGTGCTCCATCTTTAGGTCTTTGATCAAAACTGTATGCACAAAGGCGTGATTCAGAACTGCCAGCATCAAAATAATCATATTCTACGTCTGCGTGTCAGCAGCACGGAAACAATTAGCTCTCGGCCCCGAACTCGGCGCTTGTTCCAGCGCACTGGGCACAAACCGGACACTGTGCCAGGACGTTTGTAGGACAACTGCTAACACTACACATTCCAACACTGCCCCGGAGCCCACAGAAGAGGATCATTTCCTAGAAAGCCTGGGGAGCTGGGAAGCAGGGCTGGAGCCCCAGGTGCAGCCTGCCACCTCCCGGCCCCCTGTCTGCCCAGGTACCAGCATCCACCAACCTCAATAACCCACAGTGGAGAGACCAAGAAAGGAAAAAGCTGGAGAAGACTGAAAGATGAAAGAATAAAAGACCAGATAGACAGGAAAAGAGGCAGAGGGCAGGGTGCCGGAGGAAAAATAGTGGAGCCTAAATAGCTACGTTTATGAGAATGACAAGTACCAAGATAAGATTATGCATAGAGATAAAAACTGAATTCAGTAAACAAGAATTTTAATTTTCACCTCTAGAAAGCACAGCGGGATTTGCTCACACTGGATGGGTACGTACTACCTTTCATAAAAGTTGTCCCAAACGTTACTGACAGAGTACTTGTGTGTTCAGGGCACAGTTCTCTGCAGCCTTTCTGTGACCAAAACACCAACAGTCATTTAGCAGGGTAAATCATCTCCCCAAGCTCTTGCTTTCTCTCTCAAGACGTAAACAGAAATACAGAAATAGACAAAAATAAACATGCATACTCTGAGAGACAGCACTTATTTAATATAAGCCTACTGCTAAAAAAATTAAATGAAAATCAAAGGAAGCTTCTCTAGAGCTGAAAAATACTAGTACTGATGGTACATATCTTAGATTTGCATTAACTGACCAAGAACACTGTTAATTTGCTTTTTCAAGTGCCTATTAGAAAATTCAAAAATGCAACTGGTAATAGGGCCAGATTTGCAATCCCTTGCGGTTTCAGGCCCGAGTCATTTGAATGAAAACCGGGGAGTTTGCAAAAGAACGTGGTAAGAGACAGTCCCCATCCTGTGTGTGTAGTTTCAGTATCCCTGAGTTGTCAGCGGTTGATAAAATGATTGCATTACGTTTCACTGCCCGTCACCTTCCGGGCCTGTTAGAGCCGTGCAATAAAGAATAGAGCCTGTGCGGTTTTCTGGGAGGAAAAAACAAAAGTAGCAGTAAAACAAATCCCTACGAAGGTGCGAGACAGGCGGCTCTCCCGCGAAGTTCGGGGATGCCCGCCGCGGGCAGCGCCGGGGACGGGACGAGAGGAGAGATCCCTCTCTCAGGGACGAGAGAGGATCCCACGGATGCATTTTCTGGCTTTGCATCCCGGCCCCCGGCCCTCGTACCGGGGGCAGGACCGGCCCCGCACCGCGGCACCTGCGGGAGGCTCCCGCGCGGGGCGGGGGGACCGCGAGCCCCGGGGCGACCGCGCCTCGCTCGCCCCGAGTTCCCCGCGCCCCCCGCGCCGCCCTCCCGGCACGAGCGCGGCCGAACGGCGAGAGACGCCCGGGCGCTCCCGCTCCCCCGCCTACCATCGCCTTGCCGTGCGGGGCGGCGGGTCCGCGGCGCTGCGGCTGCCCCCGCTGGTCTCCGCCGCGGTCTCGCTTCTCGCGGCCGCCGCGCTGCTCCTCGCCGGCGTCGAGGGAGGTGAAATTCCAGACGAGGAGGGTCTGCAGGAGCAGCACGGTGAGCGCCGCCACCAGCGCCGAGCGGGAGCGCCGCGCCAGCCGCCGGGCGCACGGAGCCGCCACCATCTTCGCTGCTGCTGCTGCTGCCGCCGCCGCTGCTGCCGCCGCGCTCCCGAGAGCCGCCGCATCCGCCGCGGCACCGAGTTTTCAGCCGGGCAGAGCCAGACGTCAGCAGGAGGAGGGCGGAGGGGGGGAAGGAGGGAGGGAGGGAGGGAGAAGGAGGAGGTGTGCGCGGCGCGTGGGGATGGGGGAAGCCGGCGGGGAGCCCTGGCGGCGCGGCAGCCCGCGGGCCGGGGCAGCCCGGGGCCAGGGGTGGGGTTGGCGGAGGAAGAGGAAGGAGGAGGAGGAGGAGGGGGGTGGGCTGGAGGCGGAGGAGGAGCGGCAGTGGGGGCTGCTGCGGCTGCGGCTGCCGCCGGCGGGCGGGGGGGAGAGCCCCGGCCCTGCGCGAGGGGAAGGGGCCGGGGCGGGGCCGCTCCGCGGCTCACGGCGGGCGGGAAGACGGGCGAGGAGAGGAGGGGAGGGGGCGGCCGGCGCCGGGGCGGGCGGCGACTGCCATCTTCTGAGGGAACGCGGCCTCACGGCGGGCGGGAGCGGGGCGGCGGCACCTGGCGGGCGGCGGAGCCGCGGCCGCCTTTGCCCCTCACCTGGCGGGCGGCAGCCCCCGGTGCGAACACCGGCACGGACGCCTGCGGACCGTGTCAAGGACAAAAACGGTCCAAATTCCCCAAGACTGAGGGGTTTTTTTTGGATTTTTTTTTTTTTTTAAGCAAAAAGGTCACTGGCAGGGTTTGGCCTCAGCGGAGTGAGGGGGAGAGCAAGGTGCGACACCTCCATAGCACGGTGAGGTTTGCGGGTACCAGGCTTAGGCACGAGGTGACTGTAATTAAATACCCAGTGTCTCGAAAAGTGAACATAATGGACGACTTCAGTTGCCTTTTTCTCCCATACTGCTATTGGCTTTCTAATCTGAAAGATCTCATTATCTGATGGTAGTACTGAAGTAGGCATTTTTTTTAATCTGCCTGCACAGAGCCTCTTTTTGTAAGCCTAATTCCACTTTACAAATCAAATCCAAAGGTAAAAAAATACTATCTCCTGATAAGAACAGTTGTTTTTTTAAATGACAGCCAGGTGGGATTTGCAGAGACCACCAGGATTTTGTTTGCATTGAAAGTGCTTTAGTTTCTGATCTGAAGAAAATGAAACAAGTAGTAAGATTCAGAAGCATCCCTTATTAAGGGAATTTCCCTCACGATCCAGTGAAGCGACAAATAAAATTTCAGAGGGGGTATCCTTTGTTGCACTGTTTCAGAAGCGGATGAAGTACGTGGCAGATTAGTGGTAAGAAGCATTGTGCAAATACTTTACAGAGGTGCACATGATTGGACATACAGGCTTGCTAATGTTACAATTAATTTTTGATACTAATCTCATTATCTGCTGGAAGAATCAAGTTCAGAAATAAATAATCCGTTGCTCCTAATGCACAAATATTGAGTCTCTAGTGGTAAACTGCATCCTTGAGAAAACAAGCAAGGTGTTGTTCCATACACAGCAGTTCCTGGGCTCTCTTGGTCCTGTCCTGTCCTGCCCTCTGATGCTGTTGGATAATCACTTCCCAGCAGTTCTGTCCTGGTGCAAAACCATCAACTCATTGCAGTTGCTCCTCGTGGATAGAGCAATAAAACCTGAATCAGGCCCAAGCACAAACATGCAGTTTTGAATAGGGCCACACTCTCAAATGTCACTGACTGCAAGGTGTCTCCATACAGAGAGGTCAAAATACATCATTAGTAACTTACAGGAAAGTCGGGAGGGAAAGGCTCCTCTCTGTGTGACAGCGGAGCATTGTCTGGCTGACCTTGCATTCATGTAATGGAACGGTGTCCATTTTTGCCAGCTGGGGTGATGGCAAACTGCTCTTAGCGGGCAGAGAGCCCGTGATAGCAAATTTGGACAGTGCCAGGCTTTCCCAGCAGTTGCGCGTGCATCGGATTTGCCGGTCACGCAGTACAGCAAAGTGAGCTGTTACAACAAAAAGAAAAGGATTTAAAGTCTTCCTGAATGTTCTGACAGTCTGCACAGCTCAGGAAGTCAATGGATAATTTTCATCCCAAACCATCAAATAATTGGGCATTATAAATACAATCGAGCAAATCTGCTGATAAATACAAGATAGAAGTGTCTTCCACTTGGGATTAAATGTTTTTCTCTTCCAAAAGGAAGTTGTGGTCTTAGCACGTGGTTGCCCCATGCAGCCTTCCCTCGGGCTTGTAGAGGGCAGGAGGTGCTCATGGTGCCAGAAAAAAAGTCTTTGAACAGGCCAAATGTCTGAGAGCTCTGAAGAGCCCCCGGCTTCAGGGCCTGATTCTGATCCTGCAAACCTCATTGGGAAATGGAAGGGACATTCCAACGGGTGCCCTACAATGGCTGAAAGCCCTGAAGTCAACACTCAAGCCAGGCAATGCTTTAGCATAGGGCACTGCTTTCTATAAAAGGAGCACAGCAGTAGTTATGATGAACTTGTGATCTGTGCTTCTTAAAATTTTTATGAGCTATTGCTAAGTTCTCTCCAGATTTTATGGGGCAGTTTTTATGCTGGAAAATGTGTGCATTTTCCTAATCTCTGTATAATTACTGTGACTGATAAGGCAGTGAGGAACAGCAGTGCATGCTCAGTTTTGCATGTGTCCTACTGAAAGCCCATCTGGAGAGAAGATTTGTATCCAAACCACAACAATTTATAGCTCATGAAGATCTGAGTCTTCAGTGCAAAGTCAGCCCTGTGTATGGGTGGGAGCCCCAGCATGAAACACTCCTGCACTGACAGAAAAAGTAGAGCAGGGAGAGGAGCAGGCATCTCCTCCCTCAACATCCTCCTTTCCCTGGATTTACAGATCATGTAAAATCTGGAAAGGAGAGTGCTGTAGGTATGGCAATCATTTTTAAAACCGTGCTCTGACCAATGACCACTAACTGATCAAAACATCCTTCTTCTGTGCTAAAGAAAACAGCCAAATAGAAGGAGCATAATTTAACTGATTACTTTTTTTTCTGTGCTAATCCAAACTAAAAAGTAAAAATGGCAAGGCTGATCATCTTGAGGATCTGAAGATTAAAAAAAATCACAGAAACTGAAAAACTGAACTGTACAAATCCAAAGAACAAACTAAAATCAGAAATTACATAAAACTTAAAACTCTAAAATGGAATTCTAAAATTGAATTCTCTTATTATCACATTCATCAATAATGGCATCTCAAGTGAGCTGTGTTGCATCAGAAAAATTTAATCTGGTTACACAGAAGACATTTAAGAGAGTTATTACTCTGAAAATTCCCAATGTTGCCCATGTTAGGTGAGATGATTAGCACCTAGCACAAAGTATATAAGAGAAACTCCAGATTTGATTCTAAATATACAAGTGTTATGTTGGTTGCACTTAACTGTCAAAGAGATGGTGTTTTAAGCAAGGATAACTAATGTGATTTGGCTAATTTGCTTTAAAATCCTAACAGATAATTGGTTTAAATATTTTTTGCCACTGCACAGGTATGTAAATTCAGTGTGGGTGTGTTTGAGAGACAGTGGGTATCAATCTTGGCTACTTAAATTATGTAAAAAAAGAACCATATTCTGTTCCATTTTAGTCTGATCTACTTTGCTAGATTTTCCTATCCTGTAATAAAAAATTATTTCCTCCTCCTTACAGTGTAGATACGGTCTAAAATTGCATCAAGTAACCAGACTTTGTACAAAGAAATAAGTGAAGTTGAGAGCAATGTTAATAAGCAATATCCTTTGCTCTGCTTTGCAGAGCTTCTAGTCCATCTGGTGAACAAACACTACAGGCTTATCTGAACTCCAACTCACAGGCTGACTCATAGGTGGTTTAGAAACACAATCTGTAATCAGTGAAAGACTAAGTTATTTCAGAGTGAAGATTTGCATTTTTCTTAAAAACAGTCATATCCCTATCACATCAAAATTTAGATTTCAGATATATGTTATCAGGGTGAAGGGCAAAAGGTATCTCTATGAATGAACTGATTTGTCTAGGAATGGTTATCTCTAATATACTCAAAAGAAAATCTGTGAAGAATACAGAACAAATAGCAAATTTTTGTATATTCCTACAATTTCAAAAAAATCCTAGCACCTAAGGAATGCAGCTTACAAACAGAAAAGGTTGAAAATAGGCCATGAAGAGTGTTCAGTGAGTAATCTGCAGCAGCAGCAGCAATATCTTCTGAGGTTTGGGCTTCTTCCCTGAAGTGATAAATTCTTTTTTTCCTTTTTCTTCTATCACTGGCCAGGACAACACAGCACTGCTAATCATTTCAGTGGGGCGTTGTGCCTGTGGAGGACATCTCCCTTTTCCCTGGGAGGCTGGCAGACTTATGGGTCTGTGCATCAAATCTGACCCAGCAAAACGCGACAGGGAATTACTCCTTGAGAATTTCACCATCTCCGACTGTCGGTCACTGCTCTGCAACAGGTTTCCAACTCAATGTTTTTTGTTTTAAAACGCTGGTGTGTTGTTGTACTTCAAAGGCAGAGGAAGTATATCTTGATTTTTTTAGAACCACAGAACCATCATTAACTTTGTGTTTTCCAATTCAGTCATTTTATGGTTTACATGTATATTTTGCACCACTCAGTTGTGCTGTGCCACAGACATTCACTCTTCCATCATTTCTTTTCATAAACAAAACCAAGATTCTTTGCCATGTGCTCATTTTAAATCAGGCTACTCTTCAAGTCAGTTATAAAATTCAGGTTCTCTCTTACGTGCACGGACAGAACTCAAGTCAATGGAGATGTGACCACTGCGTGCAAGAAATGCCTTTAGTTCTGGTGGGTTTATAGAACTTGAGACTCCAGCAAGCCATTCTTAATCCACTCTTGCTCCACTTTGCCACTTTATGCTTCACAAATGCAAACTCTGGTGTCAATGAATATGCAAAAGCCAAGTTTTTGACACCAAGGTTTCATTCTGGTAACACTATCTATAAACTAGTGACTGACTGTACCGTGTCAGTATAGTCAAAGACAATAAAAGCAGGTTCACTGTTCAACTGATATAAAATATGTGATATATGTGTGGAATATATATTACATCTTCCTTCTGAGAGATAAATTTAGTCCAGGACCTTGGCATATGCTTCATTTCAGAAAGTGAAGGAAAATGGAAGAATTATTCCCTCCACCAGCACATTAAAGCATCCCTTTTTCTTTATAATCTCTTAGCATATAAAAACCTTTTACTATCAATGAGGGGGAATG